TATAGAGGTAATTTAGAAAAAATTGATAAATATGAGAAATAAGTATTATATTTTAAGACTAAAACCAACTCAATAATTAAGGACCGGAAGAATATATGGTTTTCATATCAACGGGCTAAAACTAGCGTTTTACAATTGCTGCAAATCGCAGGTTCATTAGTGACCGGCATGGCACGGTTTATTTCTCATGAGGAGGGAAAAAAAAATCATTTACATGAATTGCGCATTAGGAGAATTGTTTTTCATTTAATTTACGCTATTAATTTTTTTAATTACCGTTTCTCTGCATTGGACGTTGGCATTTCAAATTTCATGAAATTTTTAATATAACGGATTTTATGTGAACAACCTCAAATTTCAATTTATATGAAATATAACATTTTGAACTAGGTGTCCAGTAACTGAATCCAAAACACAGACACACATAAACATATTGTTTCGGCAGCATAATAAAAGTGAACTCGACCGTTTTTAAGGAAAGCACCTGAAGTATTTTTCTATATACGTCTCCTAAAGTTACTTCTAGTATAATTTATCCCTAAAATAATTTGAATGGGGCAATTTCATCCAAAATAATCGAAGGTTATCTTTGACCGTTAAAGTGCTAAGTAAGCAAGAGTTTGACCAAAAAAATCTGATGTGGCATGTACTAGATAGATGAGGTGGCATTTTTAATTTAATTTTTTTTTTTGTGGAAGATAAGCCCTCTCTTTCACCTTCACCGTCTCCTTACCCTCTCCCTGTGTGTTTTCTATCTCGATGAAGATGACCCCTTTGTGACAGCAAAACGAATGACGACGACCTCCATAATCTTCCTCATCTTCGATCACCTTCTTCCCTTCCTTCTTTTCTTGGGTCGCCTTCTTCTCTTTATTCTCTATCCTTCTCCACTTCCTTGTCTTCTCCGTTTTGCCTCGGATCTCTATTTTCGATGGTGGTAGTTCTGGCTTTCAATTTCTTGTTTATACTTGTGCGATTTTTTAACATTGGTTTGCCTTTTGATTTTGGAATGGGATTGTTGCTTCTCATCTTTGATCTTCATCGTCCAGTACTACCCTTGCCAAAACCCTATAACCCAGAATATGAAAATTCATCTTGATCTTTGGGTGAGTCGTCTCACAGTCTGACCATTATCCATGATGAAATTACTAGGAAGAAGGAAGAGTTCTATCGCATTTACAAATGCAAATGATGATAATCATTTGAAGATAGTGGCAGTGACATTTATGGAGAATTTTTTCACTAAAAGAGAACTGCTAGCATAATCAGCAGTCAAAGGCTTGCTTATTCAACGGCTTAACAGTCAAAGATAACTTTCTGTTATACTTGGATGAAATTGCACCATTTAAATTATTTTAGGATTAAAATTGTATTACAAATAATTTTAGGACATTGGGTGTGAAAAATATTTTGAAATGCAGAGCGCGTCTTAACCTGATTTTTAAGAAAGCATCACTAGTTTACGCTCTGACTCGAGTAGCACGGGGCACGTGGAGTTCCATGTGAATCAGCAAGGACCACCTTACAAGGCTAAATACTCCTGGGTGACTGATAGTGAAGTAGTATTATGAGAGAAGAGTGAAAAAAACCCTTATAGGAGAGTGAAATAGAACATGAAACTGTAAGCTCCCAAGCAATGAGAGGACTGCTGATTGGTATAAAAAATCGGGGAAAGGTATTGCTTACTGATTTGCATAGGAAAATTTGCTGAGACCTTTAACTATAGTACAAGATTATCTTGAAGACGAGAACGAGTTCTCGATTGTTTCATATTACCACAGAATGAGCTCTCGATTTACAATAATTGTATATAAATTATATACAGATGCATTTTGCAGTTTTTTCATCACACACACCACACTAGTTGATACGAGCTTCAGTTTCGAACAAAGTTCAGTTCGTGTTTATCAAGTGGTAAACCATCGGGCTATTACAATGCCATTTTGAGAATTCTCTTCGTCCTTTGTTACTAAGTTCAAAATGTTATTTAAATTTTGTTAAAAGCAATGAATGCATAAAATATATACATATTTTTTCAATTATACTCGTGTGTAAAGAAAATACATGAAAAATAATAAATAAAAATTCATTGTAAATGGATAATAAATAAAGATTAGTGTTTGAAAACAAAGAAGATTTATTTCTTATATTTAGATACCCCACCATAAGTTGTTTCCAATAAAAAAGGACAGAGTGATCACCGCGCTAAAACTGGAGTTTCATAATTGCTGCTAATAGCAAGCTCATTTTGCAATTTAAGATTTCAACCACTAATGGCATGGCAAGGTCTACTTCTCATGAGAAAACAGAGCACGTGCCAATGCATAAGAAAATAAACAAGACTTCAGCATCCAACTTTCCTCACAACGACTCCAACTAAGGAGGAAATTCGTTTTCTATAACAAACCCAACAGGAAACTCCAAAAGGGAAGAGGTAAAAAGTTCATCCAGCACGAGATATCCCAATATATATTGCTGCAAAAATTGATGGAATTAATCCGAATGAAACTTTGATCGTATACCGAACGATTCATGCAACAAAATTTCAATTCATAGATAATTATCATATCCTCAACAGTACATTCAAAAATGAAGCTGCAAACTAACTTCAGTAAGATCAGCGGTAGCGACGAAGAGAAAGAGTGTTGTTTCTCTTCCAGGTAGCCCTGCGGGAGGGGCGAGCTTTGTGGTAGAGATGTCCTCTGCCACGGAGGCCTCTGTATTTCTTACCAGCAGAGGTGAGGCCACGCAGCTCCCTGTGTTTGTGGACAGGATTGCAGAGCCAGTTGATCCTTGGGTCATTTCTGATAGCATTGTGAGCCACATCCACCAGGATTATCTCGTAGTATTTATAAGTCGAGTCCTGTATCAGCATTTTACCAATTAGAACTATGGGCAAGTCATTCAGAACCAAGTTTCATTGTCAGAACCAGTATCTACGAACCTCATTCACCCAGTAAGAATTGAGGACCCTAAGTCACCCAGCTTCCGTCCAGCTCGCTCCTCAGCGACTGATCTCTTGCTCCTCTGAAATTTCAGTTGGGTGACACCTTGATTTGTGGGCTTACCATATACAATACCTTTGGGAACTGGTCTCTTCCGGCCACCCCTCCGAACACGAACACGGTAAACCACATAACCCTGCAAATATTGCAATCTTAAGCATTGCTAGACCATACAATTGAAGCAAAAAGTACAGAAGCAAATGATTTCCTTTTTCTCAAATAAAAAAGCAAATAAAACAAACAGAATTGAATAATACAAGGAACATTTAATTAAAATGAGAGAATAAGATGTGTCAGATCGAGACAAAAGCAAAATTGATAAGAGGACAATTCACTCGGTCAGATGATCTGACTGTTAACTTTAATATAGCTGGTCTAAGGAAGCACCCAATCATCATACATATGCAATGACGCATATGCATCAAGGCGCCGCTTAACCAGCAACTTATCAAGATATATACCCCACAAATTCAAAAATAGCTCAGTCAACTGAGCAACATTCATATGGTTTCATGAGAATCCTGAGGGTGCACATCAAAGAGAACACAACATTTTCTCAGAAAACGGACTAGAAACATCTGAATCACTCCAAATAATGGGCAAATCAAAGGGTCGCCACAAGAAAACTAACATGGCGTTCAATTGCAGCACACATTCTAAAAGCCAAATCCACCTAATTGCTTAACACATCCCAGAAGCTGATTTCGACCATTTTGTAATAGAATTGATTTTTTCCCTACTAATTTTAGTGTGCCTTGTGTGGTTAAAGGTTCATATTAGTTTTGAACAACCCCAAAATCCAACCCTCCTAGTATAATTTGTGAATCATATGTTCATAATAAGACGGACACTGCAATGATCTCCGCAAAGTAGACTGTTCAATACCTGCTTAGCTTTGTAGCCCAAGCGACGAGCCTTGTCAGGACGAGTAGGCCTTGTCACACGGACTATGGAAGGTTGCTGCCGATACTCCCAGCACCTCACCCTCTGCAAGAACTTCATTACATCAGACTGTTTCTTGCGCCACAGCTCTGATACATACTTGTAGGCACCTATATCCAACAACGACAACAAATATCAGCATTTCTTGGCACCCACAGTAAATGCTTTCCGACGAGAAAGTGAAACAAAAAGAACACGAGAGTACAATCTAAGTCATACCCATCGGAGCAAAGGGTAACCACGACGGCGACGCTCACTCTATGAGAGTTAGGGTTTTTGCAGCAAAGCCCGTTTAATAGATAGAGGATACATATATTGGGCCGGGCACAGACGCTGCTCGCTGCCTCGACTCCTGAAATGCTCATGTCCATGTTACCTTTACTTCGCCTAAAATAAATTTTTTAACAAATAAAATTAATGAGCATAAAAAAAATTGAAAATATATATTAAAATTATTTTCTTAGGCAAATATAAGTGTTCAAATTATTGTTACGTGATATTAATATTAAAAAAAAGATATTTGGTCTAAATAATTTAACTAAGAAAAAAACTTGCGTCAAATTCTTTGTGTCAAATTCTATCATATGAATTTATAATTAGATAATATTAAATGTTAATATTTAAGAATGAGACACATAATTATATCTGATTAGAAAATTTGACATAATAAATATAAGATAGTTGATGTTAAAATTAGAAGGAATGTTTGTGGTAAATGTGTTTTGTTTCCAATGAGGTTTCATAGGTTTTCAAAAATGAAAAGGAATTTTTTAAAACCAAAAGAAAGTCCTTGTCATGTGTTCGATCCTTTTTGCTCTTTGAAGTTTCTTCGCAAAGAGGTTTTTTTTCCTTTGTAGAAAATTTATATGTCTTGTGATATAAATATTAATCCGACGAAAATAAAAGTAACATTCTCTTATCGAATCTTGGGAATGAAACAAGCTTATTCTGCGAAGAGGCTGAACGAACTTAAAAAAAATTCCGGATCCAACAAAAAACGGATCAAGAGGGCTGGACTAACAAGAACATGAGCTTCATATATGAAAATTTGAAAAGTTGAAACGGACATTTTTATGGGGTTAAATAGAACGGCCATATTTTACAGTATCCAGATTATTACATGCCCTTCTTCAGCTGCATAGTTTCTGGTTTCTACAGTTCAATCGACATTTCCAAGAGCAATTTTGCTCGCTCTCGCAGCTCGCCCCGCCTTCAGGTTCCAGCAGTAATGGCGAGCGCCCGCTGCTCGCTCCGCCTTCAGGTTCCAGCACTAATGACAAATCTGAATCTACTTGTGCCTGCGCTTGTGCCTGCCTTCCTCCTCCCAATCTGCCTGTGGCGGCGACGGAGACGGCTCGTACCTAGACGGCCTCCGTTTGAAATGCCGTTCGTCATCGCTAGATTCATAATCCACACTCTTCTTCCTCCCGCCACCCGTCGAAACGACCTTCCCAAGCCCCGACGATTTGTAATCGTCATAATACCCATTCGACACTGACTTGTGATGCGCCGTAGTCGTCGATCCACCGGCTGGTTCTGCAGAAGATGACGTAGCGAGCTTTCTCTTCTTGGAGACTTCGCCCTCAGGGTAGCTTATGCGAGAGAAGACGCTGGCCTTGTGCTTGCGATCTGCAGCCGCAGCAGCCGCCGCCGCCGCCGCCGCCGTGGCAGAAGAGCTCTTCGTCACCGGCTCAGAGGAGCGCCTTGATGAGGACTCCGAGTGGTGATGGCGATGGTTATGGCGGTCGTGATCAGGGTAGCCATAGTCTGGAATCAAATCACGGTCACGATCGTTGTCGTGGTCACGATCGCGATCAAGGTGGTGCTCAGATTTCCTCTTAGAAGGGCGTGAAGGTTCAACCTCGCGTGGAGGTCGATCTGGCGATGGCCGCTCCAAACGAGTCCGGGGTTGATGGTTGTACGCGGCGCTCGACGAGGGAGGAATAGGCTTCTGCACCAAAAGACAAAATATCCCAGTATTAGCTGCTTGGAGCAATGTTCTAGAAACTCTTTTCTTTCCCCTTTTTCTTTTGGTGGGTATGTGTGGCTGTGAATTCCCATTAGCCCTTTCAGCTTTTGCCCTCCCAAAACAGCAGCAAACCAATCGTCCGATTAACAAAAGCCTTTTTTTTTTTTTTCATTTTTTTTAATAACCTTACCGGTACAGAAACAGAAGATAAAGACGCTAGGTTCTCGCTAGCCCTGGCGAAAGCAAATGAACTATTTTCTGTATTTAGACTGTAATGCCAAAGAAAAAAAAAAAAAAAAAACAAAGGGGGGATGGTTCGGGGAACGAATGCAATTGACCTTCAAACATTTTAACATGCTTCCAAGTTTCACCTTAAACTTTACTTCCACTAACTGAAAATTAAAACCCGGTTCGATACATAGAATAAAAATGATCAGCATAATTCTAATTTTAGATATACAAAAAGGTTCTTGTAACTTTATTTTTTAAAAAATAAATAATTCAAAAAGAATAGTAATTACACCAACGCATTAACCATGATTAAAATTAAAAAATAAATAGGGAAACGTTTTTATTACCCCCCAGAAGAAAAAATTCCTTTTGGAGATTCCAGGCCTTAGGCCTTGGTGAAATTAATAATAATTAATAATAATACAGCAGAGGCGAATAAGCAGGCTCAAATTAAGGATCAGCATCCCAAATTTGCTGCACTTTGTTCATTGGGTCAGCACAACACCACAAGTAGGGCAATAGAAGCCCAATAATATTTTTAAACGGCTAAAGAGTGCAGAAAGCCCAGCTAACTTCACCGACGCAATTATAATATACTAATTTTAATGACGCCGAGGTTTCATTTCAACGAACTTTTAAACCATTTGTTGGTTGTCGTTGACCTCAGAAATCTGGCAAAACTATATAGGTCGTTGCTCCCTCTCCCTCCACAACACATAACCACAGAGTTATCAATACTGAACGTGACGTGGCATTATCTAGTGCAATTGGGGTTCTTTTTGCGAGGGGTGTGCTTTTTCTTGCGAAGCTTTCAAAAGAACTACTCAAAAAGGCGAATGCCGCATAAGTCCACAAGAAAACAGAGAAATTACAAAAATAAAAAGCACATACAGATTTCGATTTCATCGGAGGAACATCCCCAACACTGTTCACTTCCCTACCAATCTCCCGATCTTTGGCAATGTCCCTGTCTCATGATGAAAGAAAGAAACTTGTAAATGTGGTGAAAATACAGCAACAACTTAACACAAGATGCACAACGGCATGGATCATCAAGCAACAATTATAACAATCATTGTTTGGGGGGGGGGGGGGGGGAAGTGTTTTCTCTGTCCGTGACTGAAACATTTGGCTGAAAAAAAAAATGACGAGACAATATCACAATGAACAAGAAAGAAATATATCCTGCACTGAAATATTTAGGAATGAGTTTACCAAAAATTCGCTTAGTACCTTTCTCCACGTCTCTCAATTTCACGCTTCCTCCTGAGATCAGCTTTCCGAGCTTCAAACTGCTCTCTACTCATAATCGGAGGCGGAGCATTCATGACATTCATACCCATACTTAACTCCGCAAGATCCCTTAAGATATAACAAGACATGTCTCATGAGTTAGAATTGCAAAGAACGCAGTCATCTACACATATATAAAAATATGCAGGTGAATTATCTTGAACCACCCCCACTCCCCCCCCCCCAAAAAAAAAAAACCAATTAAAAAAGGGAAAAAAACCCAGTCTGCCCTTAACGGGGTAGGATTAGGAGGAAATAACGCCATTTTCCCACAATCTTACACTACACGTAAGTAGCATTCATAAAATAGTAGGACCATATTAGATGTATATTTGATATGTTACGCATATTGTACTCCTAACATTCATATCGCCATCCCTTCTCTCCTGTATGTTTTGCAACGATTTGAAAACTGAAACACACCTCTATGTTTTGAAACAGTCAGAAATAATTCAAGGGATTACTGCAGATAAGTATTGATAATTAATTAGAATTAGAAATTACAGTCTGAATTCGCTTCATGCTTTTTGACACTTTGTTATGAACATCTGTATATCATATGTGAAATTTTCATTTAAAATTCATTTTCCTCGTATGTTGTTACTTCTTTCCTTAATTTGTTAATACACCTATCACGTCTTAAAATTTAAAGAATTGGCATATCCCACATTTTATATCATGTCACATATACTGATATCATTGCCTCTCAGACTCCGAAGTGGGAGTCTAAGACGAGCGGGAAAGCGCTAACTTTTGATTTTTCAGAACATACTTATACAAGTAGCCTAATAAATACCTTGGAGGTGGAACAACAGGCAGCATGTAGTTCTGCATGCCAAAGGGATCATGAGGCATAACGCCGCCAAAAGGCATATCTAAGGGGCCGAAACCATAATTCATCATTTGCATTGCACCAGCATACGGTGCCACAAATCCTTCCATGCCAGGTTGCATGCCATTCCAGTACGGATTATAGCCTTGAGGCGGGGCCATAGGCATCATATAGTTATCAGCTCCAAAGTCTTGTGGAGCTTTCCACTGAAAATCTGCAATGTGTATGCAAAATTTAATTTAAAATGACTTGCACAATATGAATAAGAGGTAAAAGCGTCCATATTTTCCACGGAAGTTCCAAGATACAAGCACAAGATCTCAAAAAGAAACATTACAGAAACATGTCAGTACATGAGAAAAGAAAGAGAGCAGCAGATTACCATTTGTGGGTACACGAGCTTTCTTCTTTTTCTTTTTCTTTGCTGCAAAAAATTAGAAGAAAACTAATGACACTTGCCTTCAGAAAAAAGGAAAAAGTAAAAAAGAGAATGGACCTCCCCTTTATCATTGTTCTCGCATTGTCATCATTATTTACATGAGTTCCCCCATAACCACCCATTCTCTCTTCCTCATTCTAACAGAAGGTATAAAAACAACCTGGCACCAAATTACATTACCTGCCTCAGTAGGAGCCAACTTTTGTTGCACTTCTTCCTCAACCAGCTGAGCACTACCTTGTGAAGCCGGTTCCTTTACAGTCACTGACTCATGAGTAGCTTCGGAAACATCAGCGGCTCTTGTGGCCTTTACTTCTTCAGACATCTTCTGAGGCACAGATAGAGCCTTTCTATTATCATCAGCTGCCTCTTGTACTTTTGTTTTTCCTTCATCAGAATGGGACACCTTTTGTTCTCCTTTAGACACAGCAGATGAGGTTGGAGAAGGAATCTTGGGCTGTGGACAACGAGCAGACTCCATATCTAAAGGATCCAACCCAGGGAAACAATGTAAATAATGAAAAGTTAATAACCAGTAATAGTTAGAGAGTCGCATCATAAAAGTTTCAATAACCTTGAACTTGAAATGCGCTTCCAGCATTTTCAGCACTGGTAGTGCCTGTCTCCATTATACGACTAATTAGGTCTCTTGTTGTCTGATTTGGTAAAAGATCATCTGCAAGTATATTAGCTGCACCACAAACGCAAACGGATTTGGAGATAATGTAGTCCCGGATACCTGGGGAAAATTTTAAAATGACAATTAGCATCAGCTGATCATTAAGATGCTCAACTTCAAAAATCGGATAATATAAGTACATCAAAACTTACATTTGTCACAAAAACTTTTAAAACAACACTTGCTTGTCAATACAGCATCTTTCATCACATCCTTGCACAAGGGGCACCGGAGCTCGGGTGGTATGTCACTAACAGAGCGAGTTGTTGGCAAGCCTTCTATTTCTTTTTCAAAAGCAGCCCTTTTATGAAGAAAGATGCAGATTAGTCCCATTCCTACCAATGAATGAAATAATAGATCAAACAAGGGTCAGGGTACTCACTCGTTTGGCTTCAAGACAGCAACATCACCAGTTGGTAGAGCATAAGAACCATCAGAAGCTGCCATAAGCATTGATCTCGGAATGCCAGTGGGTGGCTTCACCCTCTTAAGGTCATAATTTGGATCACCATTCGTAGGACAATGCTGAATAAAATGCCCTGAACAAGAGAAAGGAAGTACATTCTAAGCACATTAGTATCGCTACCCACCATTTAGCACAAGAAAATAGAAGCATTTGTTTAATACATACCAGGCACCTTGCATCTATGACACACGTAGCCTGGTGGAGGTGTTTTCTGTTGCAACCCTGCCCGAACCAGCAGAACAAGTGAGCATTACAGAATTCACAGCACTAGGCCACCAAAAGGTGGGGAAATCAAACATAAGCTAAGAGTATTACCATAACCACGTCCACCCGCCATTCGTCCACCCATCCCCCTCCCAAAACCTCTACCATAGCCATCAGAACCTTGTCTACACAACCCAAAAAAAAAAAATAAACAATATTGTAAACGCAAAAGTAGAGGCATTGTTTGAGAGCCAAAGAAAGATGGAAACTCACCGCTGCCAATCCAAGGCTGGAGTGTCAATCAAGGCCTTAATTTTACTGTCCTCATCAGCTTTATTTGTAGTTGGAGGAGCCTCTGGTATTGAGTTGCTCGATTGAACAGGCAATACATCAGGAATAGCGTACAACTCATTGCCAAATTCATCCCATTCAGAGTCTTCAGGCTGTTATTAAGCATTCAATTTCTTAAGGAATGCAGAAGAAATGCTTGAGAAGATAAGAAAGTCATACAAGAAGACACTGACATATTTCATGGAAGAGGAATCAACAGTTGGTATGCCACTCTTTTCAGGCTCAGTTTCCACCACCTTATTTTCCACCTTTTCCTGCAAAATGCAAAACAGATAGCAATTCAAGAAAAGATAAAAAATATCAGTAGACATTGCAAAGGAAAAAGGCAGTATTTTATGCAGATTGTGCCAAATATAATAAATTGCAATAAAGGGAGAGTTTTGGGAATTTATACTGAATAATAAAATGATCTATCATGAAAATTCTAACAGGTATTGAGATTTTAGGTTTGAGATAGTACTCTTGTTCAGTAACTATTGGTAAACGGGGCCGTCCAGGAACTCGACGAATTAACACTGAGGTATTTTTAGGAATCAACATTGCTTGATCAAGATATTCTGAAATTCCAAAGAGACAGAGACACTATAAAACACTGCAAAAGTAATACACAAAACCATACTAAAATCCCGCAAAGTTGGACGCATGAAATTTCTATCAGTAGCTTGCAGCCTAATTATATCCAAACATCCAGACCAACAACCCATGCCACTTATCTCAGTCATTTCCCCTTTCTCTTTGTTTATGCATGGATTTTGAGTATGGTAGTTTCAAAATAGAAAGAATTTCCATGCGTTTTTCTTCAAGGGTTAAAAAAAGAAACATAGCAAATACTGTAACTTTAACCAAGAAACATCCTCCTGAAAACCAAATTACAGAAACTGCAAGGTAAAAACCAGATTGTTTAAATTTAAAATTAGTCATTAACACCATAGCCCCAAGACAATAGTTTAATTGAAATCAGAACCAACCTTCATTGGTCTGGGCGTTGGTGACCACAAGGTCGAAATCAGTACCCTTGCCTAAATGCTTTGATTCAAAAATTTTTTCTTTCAATGTAGCAACAGAGATGAAAGGACCGTCCATAGGAATTGAATCATAATCTCTTGCACTCTTAAATTTATAATACACCGCCATGGTATATTTCTCTTTCAATCTAAAAAAAAAGGGGATAACAGCAACACAATAGCCAAAAAACAAATAAACTATAATCAAAGGCCTCGATTTAATGAGCGCCTTATATCAAACTCCTAACAATCAGTACAATATTGAAGCTCTTTTTTTTTCTATTATTTTTCCTTCCGCTGTCAATTACTCAGATATGATCGGACAAATCGAACGGCCAAAACGGTGAGCTCTCCTTGATTCTTTTCTTGCAACCAGATGCCGAGTCTTCGTCTTCGTAAAATATTGTAACTCTCAGATTGTAGAAAATTTTTAACTCCGTCAAGCGTCAAAACTTAGAAGCCTCAAAAAGCACAAATCAGAGTGCTAAGATCGTCAGCGCCCATGGATCGGACGAGAATTAGAGGGATCCAGAACAGAAGCAGCCCTCTCGAATTAGCAGCCGCAACAATCCGAACGGGAAGGAATAATCAAAGAGAACTTGGATCTGTTTCAGTAGAAATCGACCGAACGAGCCAGGAGCATCGAACCACGGAGCGAATCTGCATCTGATCGGCGATGTATCGGACCACGGAAATAATCTGTATCTGAGAGGTGAAGATCGAACCTTCCGATGGGAATTCGCAAAACTCCTCTGCAGCGCCGAGGAAAATCTGAAGTGATGCAGGAAACGCGCAATCAATCGAAAAGTATCATGGCGAGGATTGGCGAGCTCCCGATGATGAAGTCTAGGGTTAGGAAAGTTGATGGAAACGAACGGGGTCAGGCGCGCGTACGGCTATAAATTTATTTCATTATTATTATTATTAAAATAAAATAAAAAGCCTCCGCCATGCTTCCTCTTCGCGATTACCCCAAGTTAACGTCACTGCGACTTCGCGCCGTTTTATCTTTTTTTTTTTTTTTTGGGTGTAATCCTCGCTTATAAGCTGCGTTTCGGATTTGGACCCATAACAGTAGTCAGTAGGTGTTAGCGGGCCGGGCATCCCAGCCTGATGGATAAACATAATTATTTTCCTATTTTTTCTGCTTCCTCAGCAAGTTTTTTGGGATTAAATTTTCAAATACTTAAGATTTAATATTTAAAAATTATTATAATATTAATAATAAGTATATACTTAAAATTTTAAAATTTAATTCCTATAAAATTTGAATTTAGCAAGGATAAAAAAATACTGTTTTGTGGGGAAAACAATCTCTAGATGAATCAAAGTAAAATAAAAAATGAGATCAAATTTTCTGAATTAAAAATTATATTAATTCCAAATGATTTATAATTTTCATAAAAAATAAACATAATGTGATGAGATTGTAGGTATCTAAATTTATTTATTTTTTATATAATGTTATGATAATTAGAGGAGGGAAAGTAGAGCTCAAAAATTCTATTCTCCCTAGTTTAGCCATGATTTTTGTCGATAGGTAATTTAGAGTTAGGGCAAAAACTCATTTTTCGCCTTTTTGGAAAAACAAATGTTTCATATTATTAAATTACATATCCACACTCTAAATGACAAAATAAAATGTTCTAAAGTTCAAAATAAGTAATATAAATTCAAGCTTTAAATGACAAACAGATACAAAGTCTATATTTAAATCTGAAAATAATACTCCTCCGGTTCTTAATATAAGAGATATTTAACTAATTTGATTGGAATTTAGGTAAATTAGTTAATTATAAGAAATATGATATGGTTTTTCTAAAACACTATAATTATCTTCCTTAATATCCTCCCTCTTTTTTCTACTTGATTATGGTTGAGGGAGCATTTATAGAGATAATTTAGAAAAAAATTGATAAATATGAGAAATAGGTCTTATATTTAGGACCAAAATTAACTTAACAATTAAATCATGTATTAAGGATCGGAGGAGTAATTCATCATCTTTACGATACAAAAATAAAATTTTACTTTGTAGGGCCAAGAACTTAAAGGGCACAAACGAAGCAATCAATGTTCCTTCCTAATTTCTCTCTTTCCTGCTTCTTTTTTTTTCTTTTGATAAGAGGAGAAAACAAAGAAACTAAGCTAAATGATGAGAAATAACATAAGAGGAGTCCTCAAGATGAGTAAGATGCAGTCCTGGTGGCAAAGATAGAGCTCGCTTAGCTAGAGCGTCTGGTTCAAGATTTTCTTCTCCTCCTATATGGCAGAGTTCCGCAAGCCATTCCCTTTGGAGCATGCTGCTGCATTCTTTAATCAAAGCCCAGTTCTCATGGACTTCATTATCTCCCTCCTGTAGCAGATGTATTTTCTCCAATAAATCACTAAAAAGACAAACGCTTCTGTGTCCCCCTTCCCAAGCTCGCTTGAGCCCGATCAAATATGCCCATAATTCTGCAAATAAGGGATCTCCTTCATTGAGAGACAGCATAAACGCTTCAAGAACAGGGTTAAGTTTTTAAGGGAGAAATATAAAGCTAGGGATGATTTAATTCCCAAAGTGGATAAACGCAAGTGAGAATCACGTACGTGGAAAGGCATTCGGTCTTGTTGGAAGGAAGTCACCAGTAGGCTAGCTTGGAGGCTGATGAATGGAAACGCTATTCTCTTTTGGAAAGATGCTTGGCTACCCCACTTTGATGCCCTTAAAGGATACATTGTTGGTACTCTTCCACAAACGGCTTTAAGCTGGAAGGTGGGAGATTATGTTACGGCATCAAGGGCTTGGGACTAGCCGAAGTTTGCTCACTATCTTCCGCAAAATATATTTTAGGCTATAGACCGTGTGCATATAAATGCTTCTTGTCGCGATGACTTTCTAGTATGACGATGGTCTCCTATTGGAACTTTTACTCTGAAATCAGCTTATAATCAAATTGCTGGTGCAAATATTACCATTGATAGAACGCTGTATAGAAATATCTGGAAGTTACATATCCCACAAAGGTGTCGAGTCTTCCTTTGGCTGTGTGCACAGGGTAGGCTACTTATGAATCTATCCAGGTCAAAACGAGGCTTGCACCTGACTGGGGAGTGTAACTCCTGTGAGGGAATGCAGGAAACCATCTTACATGTTCTCCGAGATTGCCGATACAATATGCAAGTCTAGTATGCTCTCTTATCACATGAACGACAAAGTCAATACTTTGCCTTCTCTTATGCTTCTGCTTGGCTGTCTTTGGGTATTCTGAAAAGACCTCTTCTTAATACATAATCATAAAACCACTTTTTAAGATATTAACCATGGTAGAAAAAGAATTGAGTTATAGTATTTATATACTATCATGGTTATAAAGAGTTTGTCTTATTTTGAAAACCTCCCAAAATACTCAAGATACATAGAACACCTATGAGTTTAACAACACATACAACAAGGACTCAAGGCACAATAACTGCTCACAAGTCCAATATAAACATTCATCTCGCAGAGACTTGCGGCATAAGAAACACAGGATGCTCAGCCCAACTCACAAGTCATATACATAAAAGTAACATATACAGCAGAGTCTTATGGCCTTCAGCCATTCTAACAGCACTCTATCAAATAAAGTCATCTAACAACCAAATAAAAGAAAGTATATGTCAACAAAACCATGAGCCCTAAGATGACAATATACATAACATTAAATGCCTAAACCAAAAGAGGACTATTAGGCTGTACTCGCCTATACCTCTAGTTGCTTCCCTTCATGCTGAGCTAAACTAGATGGCTTTCCTGAAAAGCATTAATGAATAATGGGGTGAGACATAAAGTCTCTGCAACCAAGTATTAATTTATGACATATACAAGTAGGATGGTAAGTTGGTAAAGTAGTGCTTAAGTATAATTTAAGTAATAAATGATGCTTTAATAGATACACCACATGAAAGGAGTATGTCTCACCATCTACCACACAATTCATACAAAAGTACACATGCAACAACATAATGAAACATGCTCTCTCATCACCATACTCCTCCTTATGACTCATTAACAAGGACCCGAGCTTTCTGTACTGAGTAACCCGGTCAAAAGTCACCCCATTCACATCAAGCAACAAGCCCTCCTACACTTATACCTACACCGCCCAAGAATAGACTATGGTACAAGAGGTATCCACCCAAGAGTTCGTTTTTAATTCTGGGCCATGAAAAAGGAAAAACTACGGGGGTTTAACAAAAAAGCCAAAACACTATGATCAATAGTGTAGGTATGCCCTATGGGCTTCAAGAACAAATATCCTCCACATAACATAATCCTAACCTCCACATATGAATCCCATGCATATTTACAATATAAATTAAAAATATCATAATTCTTAAAACTAAGATGATATAATTCCAAACAAAGAATAACACATTTTTATTTTATTTAATAACAAAATATTATAATACCAAATTCAGCATCACATGAAAACATAATTCCCAGCAACATACAACTCAAGCATAATTAAATCAACGTACTTTACAATTCACCAAAATTTGTCATATGAGAAAAAACATACTTATTCATAGATATACTTTCACAAATTAATTTGAGAAAATAAAAGCAAATTAAATACCTCACAATCCAAAATATGCATATAAAATAAATTAACCCCTGTTACCTCTACTTCAAGCTTAACCTCAGCTTGAGAAATAAGAGCACAAATTACAAATTTCGAAGTACAAGATAATTTACAAATAATATAGATATAATTTAATATACATACAAATAAATAACTTAAATTGCATAGGATTTATTATTATTAATATATATTTGCTACCCAAAAATTCTTATTTCCAATAACAATTTTTCTCTATCCAAATAACTCATTCAAATTATATATATAAACTGTTTTTATCTAACATTGTAAAATTCTCAATTTATAACTTAAGTTTCCAGCTTTAAAATTTTTCTAATAACATATCCTTAACCTATTTCATATTTTAAATCAACTAAAATCTTAATAATATATTAAATAACCCAAATAAATTATTTAACTTAATTTTAATCGGTAAAAACATTCTATATGTTTTGAATAATACATTTTTCAACTAAAATTTTTGTTCAAAATTCTCAAAATAATCAATAAATAAATATAACTTGATTAAAATTTTAATAATATATCAAACAACCCAAATAAATTATTTAACTTAATTTTAATCCGCATAAATATGATATATATCATAAATGACAGATTTTTTAACAAAATAAATTTAATTTTAAATACCAAAAATAGTAAATGGAGAAATTTAAACTGATTAAAATTAATTATTTATTTATCTCTAAATTTCTATGGCCATCTATTGTTAAAACTCAATATTGACTCTGTACCTAAATTACAAAATTTTTTCTAAATATTATAATGATACTACTAATGTAAAGTTTTAAATATATAAAAATATTCATAAAAATTTTTAATAAAAAAATATTTTTATGTACCTAAACGATCCGCAAATGTTTGTTTTACTCTTCAGACAACATGTACTTGCAAGACTTCTCGCTCACCCTCTTGTTCGTTCTTTGCTATCACCTCCGCTTGTCCAATTATCCTTCTAGCTTCAACCGTCCCTCATTTTTTTTCCTTCTTCCTTCGTTAATACCTCGCCCCTTTTTCTTTCTTATTAATGCGCCACCCCCCTCCAATTTCTTTTTCACCTTTAACACACTCAGCTTTGGCGTTCAATTCGGTGCAAAAGTTCAATGTTTTTTTTAATAATAAAATATTATTATTTTATAATAATAAAATATTATTTATATTATTTAATTAATTTTTTTTTTACTTTCTCTCTGTTTTTTTTAAATTAATACTCTTCTGACTCTTAATATAAGACCTATTAAACTAATTTAATTATATTAAAA